GATCTAAAAGTCGAATGAGGAGAGCGAGACGCAAACTGCCCAAGTTGAGTGCATCATGACGAAACCGAGTTTCTTCTTCGACGCTCGCCCTACATCGCATAAAAAGTGCATGCGCTGCACTTCGACACCGAGCCCGGGTAGAGTTAGGTGCGACGAAATCGCGTTATCGGATGCAAGTCGGGGGGGAGTAGAGTTAGTCCTGCATTCGGAGTTTCGGAGCTTGGATCGATCCTGAATCCGGATCGATCGAGTCGATCGTACCGTCGATCCCGTGACAGCGATCGCCGATCGGATCCTTGACCAACAGGAAGAGGTGCAAACTCGTAAGTCGCAAAGTCGTTAAATCGCAATCGCGATCGGTGGCATAAATTTCCCGAGAGGGCGGACTGTTATCCGCATTGCGTCGAGATAAAAAAACGGGAAAAATCTCCGGGGAATAAGGGGGATAAAAAAAGAAAGAAACAATGTCTCGGCCACCTCTTTCTCGACCTGTCGAATTCCCTCTGTTATGCAATTTCGCGAAAGTCTAAGACAATTGAGCGACGAATTACAGACGGGGGATCCAAATCGCGATTGCGATGCACTTCCCCTCCCCCCTCCGAGAGAATCGTTATCGAACCTTCTTCCCATATTTGTCATTCCATTGACTTTCTAAGCCATTACCGGTGATAAGGTCCTTATCCTCCGTTTGCGTGTGGAAACTGACCTCGACAACTGGACTTAATGTCTCGATCCTCGAGGACTTTTCCATACATGCATTCTCGGCAATGCAATTTCGACTACGAGGGGGCATTCCCTGAATATTAATTCTCGATATTGCATGGGAATCAGGGGATTTATTTTATTCGACGCTGTCCTCTCTGAACATCTAGTGACTAATTGACTCCGCTCGTTTTCACCCTTTTTAAGGGGGTGTGAAAGTGGCATCTTAAGGGATAAGGGATAATATGGCGTGAAATAACTGATAAACTCATTTTTTTTTTTTAATTTTGACTTAGACCACTTTCATAATTATGGGCACATTTAATGACGTATTTCACCTGAATCGTTCGTTCATTGACTGCCCGGGGTGTAGGTTAGAGATTTCTCAGGGCTTTCGGATCGAATGCCTGAGAAGACGTCCCGATTGACGTCACGGGCAGTTCTCGCATCTCGAAACCGGATTTGCAAAAGGTCCAGCAGGAGTTAAAACTCCCGGGAAGGAGAGTCGGGATTTCGTTGATCCACCTCGGGTTGATGCAACGCGGAATTTCGCGCAACGCCGAAATGGAGTCACCTGTTGCCGCGATATTTCCAGTACGTGCAGACACGTGGAGAGGACGGGAGGTCTCTCTCGCCCAATTTTCTCCCTTTCTTTTCGAGGCTAATCCCGAAGGCGAACTCCACGGCCTTGCGCAAGTGTCGGAGAGCAGGACACGGGGAAACATACGAGAGGCATAGAGCTGATTATATTCATGAGATTTCCGTAATATAAATTCCCCGACTGTGCAGCCTCGATGTGTACCCATGGGTTTGGAAAATAGAATTTTTTTTTTTGACTTTTTCCAATTTCTTTTTCTTTCGTTTGAATGCAAACGCCGGAGTAAAAATACCCCTGACGTACGTTTGCGGAATTCCTTCGGAGATGTCGATGCAGAAAAACGAAATTAAATGCACTTGTCACGGATGTGATAAAAAGAAAACAAGAAAAGGCGTGTATTTTCGTACGTGGATCGATCGAGGGAGTGCATCTCTCTGACACGGTTGGAAATGCACTTGGCGCGAAACTCATTCGAGAAGTATACCCATGGGTTAGCGAAATAGAATTTTTGTCGAATTCTTTTTGTTTGAATGCAAACGTCCGATTAAAAATATCCCTGATGGACGTTTACGGAATTCCTACGGAGATGTCAATGCAGAGAAAATAAATTAAATGCACTTGTCACGGATGTGATGAAAAGAAATCAAGAAAAGGCATTTATTTTTGTACGAAAATCGATCGAAGGTGTGCGATCCCGACAAGTGCATCCCTCTGTCACGGTTAGCGATGCACTTGGCGCAGAACTCATTCGAGGCTTTTTTTCATTCATAAATCAGTGATGGCGATTGACAGTCCGAGCACGTGGGTGCCCGACAAGTGTCAAAGTGCAAGTTCGATGGTGTACTTTACCGTCTAGTTGCCGATGACATTGACACGATTCCGAAGAGAACAAGGCCAGCCGGTACTTGAGTAAACCAGTTTCAAATCGATCCGCCCGGTCGGTAACAGTCGATCGGTTAATTTTTTTTATCGAGGTCTCATGAGGAAAATGATCTCCATTTTTCCATATTTTTTTCTCCCCTTCCCGTAGAGACCAAGGTGCAAAGAGTGGCATTCGGTGTCACCTCTAGGCGACGCCGCGGTAAATTTTAGGTTTCATCGGGACCTGACAAAAAGATCATTACGATGCAAATAAGAGAGAAAGAAATCATCCTAGGCAGCCTCAAAGAGCATGCAATTGCGATTTGTCGCATAATTCCATGCAGGGTCATTAGTGCCGACGCGGTATTAATTAGTTAGTCAGGTGTGCCACCTGTACGGTGACGATCTGCGAGTTGATCATTGGCTATCGGCAAGTTCGTCGATGATAAGGATAACCTCTGAACATTGATTTTCATCGGCTGAAATGCAGATACCGATATTGCCGCGTCCGGGGAACGAAATTGTGAGAAGCCTTCGCCGATAACTTATCGCCGGAGGATCACGAGGATCATTTTACCGAACGACGATGAAGTTGCAGTTAGGTGATCGGGATCTACGTAGATCATTATCCACGGTGGGTAAAGGAATGATCTCCGTCTGCTTTACCGGCTCCACCTGTACCTCTTCTTGTCTCTTATCAGGGGCGATGGGAATAAAAATTCGCATCTACTTAAGATTTATTTTTATCGCTTAAATTCTTGTCATTGCGACAATGACGAACTAGTCTTTATCAGCGGATCGATTCGATGGATCTCCAAGTCGGTGATTTTTTTTTTTTCTATTTTTTTCAGTTGCTCATGGATGTACAAAAGTGCATGTACTCCATGTACAATCCTAACGATGATTCGTGAAGCACGTGAGACAATGCCAAGCACCGACACTCCCTTCACACGTCACAGGTGTGACAAACGACACTTAACCACTGTTTTGACAGTTCCGATGATTCACCAGATCGAAATTGTGTTTTCATCTCGAGAAATGATCGGCGCCGTCGTTCGATCGACGAATCGGTCAGCCTGATGTACACACTCTCTCAAGTCCTTAATCTTCAATTAAAGTAATTCGCCCTGATAAGAAAAATCCCGGAGTGTCGTATTGACATTAATACAGTCGATTATAAGTAACAACGAAGGCAATTATCCGACCTCGCGAGCCTTTTAACATGAAATACTTCCCGCTAAAGTAATTCACCCTGATAAGAAAAATCCCGGAGTGTCATATTGATATTAATACACCCGATTATAAGTAACAACGGAGGCAATTATCCGATCTCGCGAGCCCTTAAACATATTAATACAACCGATTATAAGTAACAACGTAGGCAATTATCCGATTTCGAGAACCTTTTAACATGAAATATTCCCCGCTAAAGTAATTCGCCCTGATAAGAAAAATCCCAGAGTGTCGTATTGACATTAATACAGCCGATTATAAGTAACAACGAAGGCAATTATCCGATCTCGCGAGCCTTTTAACATGAATGTTACCCGCTAAAGTAATTCGCCCTGATAAGAAAAATCCCAGAGTGTCGTATTGACATTAATACAGCCGATTATAAGTAACAACATAGGCAATTATCCGATCTCGCGAGCCTTTTACCATGAAATACTCCCCGCTAAAGTAATTCGTCCTGATAAGAAAAATCCCAGAGTGTCGTATTGATATTAATACACCCGATTATAAGTAACAACGGAGGCAATTATCCGATCTCGCGAGTCTTTTAACATGAAATACTTCCCGCTAAAGTAATTCACCCTGATAAGAAAAATCCCCGAGCGACGTATTGATATTAATACAGCCGATTATAAGTAACAACGTATGCAAATATCCGACCTCGCGAGCCTTTTAACATGAAATATTCCCCGCTATCGCACACCCTCGAAGCAGAAAATCGTGATTATGGCGTGCAATTTCAACGTGCATGGCTACGCCAAGCGAGCAGGTCGTAACTGCATTTTTATAGCTTGTAATAAAGGAATTGGATATTATCAAAAGCCCCGAGAACGGAGGATGCACAATGGGTGCGCGAGAGAACGACCGAGGCGAATGCAATTTCCTGCATTAGCGATGGGAAATCATTTCCCGGGAATGTCGCTCGTGACGTTTGGGGAGTGATTTTCGCCGTAGGAATAATTAAGAATCGACTCATAATGGGGCGTACAGGTAGAAGAACGGTAAACTCGGAGCACCGAGTCATTTCCGAGACGACCTGTAACAATGCCGAGCGCATAACGGGCAATTTCACCGGGTCTTGTAAAATCGGCAACACGACCGTCATCGCTAAGCCGCTTCCTGAGAATAATCCCCCCCTAACGATCACCGTTCTGCACGAAAATCCAAGAAACTCCGAGGTACATGAATTGCGCAACCCTTTTTTCTCCCGTGCACAGCCTGAAGAACGGCATGCCCCAGAGTAGGCCAAACGAGAGTGGAACCCAGAGGACATCGGTGGATTTCCGGCGAATCCGTCGCCGCTATGAAAAACTGCCTCCTACAAAAGTTCTCCCCCAAATCACGGTCGACAACTTCTCCCCGAAGCATTTTCCTCCAGGAGGCCTCCTAGAGGATGGAGGAATATTTCCCTCCCGCGAGAGCGGTCTTCGTTGGCCGTTGCAGCGCGCCGAGTCGCATGGCCCCGGCGCTCGGCTCCCGGCCCAACGGAGAAGGACCTCTCTAGCCCTCTCTCCCTGGAGTCCGGTCCCCACCTCTCAGGAAGCGGGAACTCGATTTCGAACTCGGGCCAAATGGAACAGTCTCCACTGCGGTCGCGCCAAGACGTGAACGGTGGACGGTACCGTGGCCAGGACCGTGTACCGAGTGTCCTCTCTGTACTCCTCGGCGATCGGCGGTGCGCATTGCGAGGTCGCGTCGACGACGGGGACCGACTATGGTGCGGGAGTTCGGTACCGTTCGCCGATCCGCAGTCGCTCTGGGCCCCATAGAGATCCCCATTATATAGTCGTGATTATGTGACCTGCCTCAAGTTGGAGGTGCGATGTCCGCCGAGCGTGTGCCCGGTACCGTTCGTGGATTCGAGGACGACTAAACAGGTGGCCCAGAAATTCGGGCCGCTACGCCTCCGCAACCTTACCCGGAGCATAGATCGATACTCCGATAAATGCGGGAAATCGATACCGCGGAATGCCGAAATCGAGGAAACTCGCTCCCTCGAGGTACCTCTGAGTGATCCCTCGAGAGGGTGATTTTCTCAAAGTCTCGCGAGGAGGAACCCTTTCAGAATGTCCCCTTCAGGGAGCGACGGCGAGGAAGGAAGAGGAGTTTCGGCAGGTGAGTACCGGTGGCAAGATTTAGGGCCTTGAGACGAAAAGAACAAAGGAGCGAGCTTAACGACCCCTCGTTACGCGAAAATTGCGCGTCTTCGGGTGCACAAAGGATCCGGACCTCTCTTTATTTCGTCGAAAAGTCGTCGCAAGGAACCTATCTCCTCCTTTATTTGGCCGAGAAACCGTCGCGAGATCGCCAAAAGGGCCTGATGAGGAGAAAGTATGTCGATAAATCCTCGCATAAACGTAAAAGAAACGTATAAAATACGTATAAAGTCCTGAAATATGGGAGATTAAAGAAGGATCTTTTGAACGTCACTCCTGCGAGCATAGTCCGAAAAAAATGGACTAATTGACACGTGTGGGCAACCAATGACTCGCTGTGTGCACGGCAAATACTTGGGGGGAAAAAATGGATACGAAGGGTGCTAAACACGTCTTTGCAAATCCACTTAAATCTTTCCTAGTCGAAAAGCTTAAGTTAGCGATGCGATTCTCTCTTCGAGAGAGCGATCCATTATTCATACTTCAATCGGCTCGTTAAGCGATGCCAGTCACATCGGGAATCCGCGAACGACAAATTGCGAATTTTTGCCGGTAAATCTCAGAGATAGGGAAAGGAAAAAAACAAAAATAAAGAAACGAGGTGTTCGCAAATCGGCGAGTTTCTTTTCTCTTTTTTTTTTCTCTCAATTGTATCCGCCTAGCCGAGTTGAACTTCGCGATCTACTTTCGCCGCTTATAGATATCATAATTGAGCGCACTGCGCACCGGTTTCCTTGACATTATTTCCTTAATGTTATTGCTTTGTAATTTGCCGGAGCCTCTCGGAGGGCTACGTTCTCCTTATTCCCATTTCAATTGCAAACTCTCGGAATTTATTGCACGCGCATCTAGGGGGAAGGTTCAAGGCAGCCCGGGTCGTCTTCGGACTAGAATGCAAAAATGAGAAAAATGCATTTCCCTCCATCCATTGGCATTGCAGGATGCAGAAATGGCAAAAGATGCATTTAACGCGCATAAAGTGCCTCCCTCAAAACCGAGGAAAATTTGAAGACCCATCACCTACGTTGATCCAGGAGAAATCTCGTAATCTCCGTCCAAAGTCGTTCCGAATTTCCCAGGATTTTCTTATCATTTTGTTCTTTTTTTTTTTCATTGATATATCAAATTTTTAGATCGACCGAAATCATCGGTCGAATGTCTCCGATTCCTATAAATAGTGTGGACGCGTTTCACGTGGAGGTTGAATTTTTGTGAAATTTATTGTAACGTGTAAAAAAGATCGAGATTCACGTAGAGTACATCCTGGTAACGGTTTGCGCAATAATTCCTTGATTTCGTGCAGGAGCGAGTCCGAGAACGGCTCGGGGTCGAGAAAAATAGGCAACGGTAGAAAGTAATGTAGGAGAGAAATTCAGCGAGCCCACGAGATACTCTCCAAGACCGAGCGAATGGAGAAAGAGAGCTCTCCTCGACCCCCCGCGAAGTCCGCGATATACACAGAGGCGACTTTACGCGTTTATACCAAAGGACTTTCGACGGCCATCGGCGACTGTCATATGTGCCCATAATTATGAAAGTGGTCTAAGTCAAAATTAAAAAGAAAAAATGAGTTTATCAGTTATTTCACGCCATATTATTTCAAACGAAATTAATTCAATGTAATTTCGAAACAAAAAATATATGACTTAGACCACTTTCATAATTATGGACACGTATCTGCCCTGAGAAGAAAAAAACGATATCCATTGACCCGAAGAGACATTTCTTCGAACAGTACCAAAGAAACGTTTCATTAATTCAAAGAATAATTATTCACCACAAAGACTGGAATAAAATAGGATACAGCATTTATTCGGAATTATGGCAATTTGAGTGAAATAATAATTCCTTGAATTAATGGGACTCATTGGTACTATTCGAAGGAATAAATGGTTCGATGAATCTATTTTCTCAGCGTGCTGCCAAGAGGTCGTCAATTCGATATCGAGTCTCTGTCAAGTCTCGCGTGGAAAGGGAAACACCTAGGAACCTGTAAAATCATTTCTAAAACGTCGATTCCGAACATTCGCTGGTGCAATCGAACCTCGATCGACCGGGGCCCGCCGGATACGCGCGATTACTCGCTATCGGGCATTCGCGCGACAAATGGCAATGTCCCCTTTCGCGGGTGTATATCGTGGCCTCTCTATTTCAGGCCCCTTCGCGTCTTGGGTGAGGACATCGGCGGTTTGCTTACTCGTTTTACCTGTTCCTAGTTGCACGTTGCACTAGCCCGGCCGAGGAACATTACAAGGTGCGCCTGTCGCAACGGAGCAATTATCGGCGCGGATAAAGAAAAATTGAAAGCAATTGATCGGTTGTCAACATCGACGGAGAGATAACCCGAGGGAGCGGTCGAGATCATCGGAGGATGTCCCACTTAAGGTGGGGAAAAAAAAAAAAGAAAAAAAAAAGAAGAAAAATCGTTCTTAAGAGAGAATCCCCGAGTTTCCCAGCCTCGCTCCCTGAATGACAATGCTCACTTTCGCGGATCTCCGCGAGTCCTTTTGTATTCCTGACTTCCCTTGTTATGCCGAATGTGACTCGTGGGGTACATCGGCATTTCCCCGGATATTTAAATGCCCCGACATAGTCCATCATCATTCTTGAAAACGTCCTCGCGGTGCGCAGAAATGCCCTCTCTTGAGTTTCTACTTTTCCTCTCTTCTTTTCCTTTTTCTTCGTTTATAACGAAACGAGGAGTAAATAAAATGGAAATTTCCCCTCCGCTCTCTTGCCGGTAAATGGATCAAGTGACCGGTTGAGTTACTACGTCTTCTCCTAGGCTAACAATAAGTCGAGATGCAGCATCCGACTCTTCCGCTGGTCCACGATCTACACCTCGTCAAGGGACTGTTCACTTGGAAATCAGTGAAAACGATTTCCTTCATTAAAAACCGATTGCCATTGATTTCTTACGATAAGCGACAACGAGATTCGGTAACGAGTAACAGCCGACCTTAAAATTGCGGCAATGTTTGGCAATTTCAACGATTTTCAACGATCGCTGCTTGCTGAAAATCTTTCCAGCTGATTTTCACGTGATTTCGAGGATTAAATCCATGATTTCCTTCATTAAAAAACCGATTGCCATTGATTTCATACGATAAGCGACAACGTGATTCGGTAATGAGTAACAGCCGGCTTTAAAATTGCGGTAATGTTTGGCAATTTCAACGATTTTCAACGATTGCTGCTTGCTGAAAATCTTTCCACGTGATTTCTCGCATTAAAATCCACGATTTCCCAAGTGAATATCCCCTCGCATCGGGGACCTTTTCTACTTTCTGTTCGGTTCGAACGATTAAGTAACGAAAATTCCCGCGTAGGAGCCGATTGCCCGTGTTTGACGTAAGAACAGATCTCTTTTTTCTCTCTCTCTCTCTCTGACTCTAGACTACGTTACCCATCCTGTATACCATACGTGGATTACCGTTTCCCTTAGAATACCATAACAAAATTAAAAGCATTTTAGGTCATTTACGCTAGGAAACGATTCGGTCACGTACGATCGGAGTTCCCTGATTTTCCGCAAGTGACGCTCGCGTCCTTAAACCTCAGAAAATCTGAGATCGCGCGTCCACTTTCCATGAAACCGAGCATAGGCGTTGTCTCATACTACTCGACGGTGTCTCAGTCCCTCGCGAGACAAAATTAAAAGCATTTTAGGTCATTTACGCTATGAAACGTTTCCGTCACGAGGGATCTAAATTCCTTAATTTCCCGCAAGTGGCACTCGCGTCGTTAGATCTGAGAAAATCTGAGATCACGTGTCCACTTTCCATAGAACCGAGCATAGGTGTTGTCTCACACCCGATGGTGACTTAGTCCCTCGCCAGACGAAATTAAAAGCATTTTAGGTCATTTACGCTATGAAACGTTTCCGTCACGAGGGATCTGAGTTCCCTAATTTCCCACGTAGTGGAGCTCGCGTCCTTAAATCTCAGAAAATCTGAGATCCTGGGTCCACTTCCCATGGAACCGAGCATAGGCGTTGTCTGATACTACTCGACTGGACTCTTAGTCCCTCGCGAGACAACCTTTACCCAGTGAACGGGTCTCGCATCTCGCCGAGGAACTGTACATGGCGTACACCTGGGAGAACATTGACCCACAGTCGGTGCAGTTACCGCCGCGGCCGGCTATTCCTTCCTTTTTCTCGCACTTGCCGGCCGCCATCGAGTGCTCGAGATTTAATAGAGTGGGCCCTGGTAACGGTTAGTCGGTTGGAGCGACCAACGCGCTCCAGAATGCCGTCCTGGACGAGGGGTGAGCTCGTTTCCACGTTTTCCGAGCCGCCCCGAAGCCGAGTCCTGTTATCCACAGACCCTGACCCATTTCCCCCGGACTACCTTCCCACCTCGTCCCGGGTCTCCATTCATGGTTTCTCCCAGGAATTAGTATGACTCCTTATACAACGTCACGTCTCGAAATCGTCCCCACTAGGGTCCAAGATCGGATTTTTCCCGATCTAGAGCCGAGAGCGCCTCCTCGATGAAACTTTGCAAATTTAAGATCATCCCCCGCTAGTCTTTCTCCCATTAAAATTAAGGCATTCTGTATATCATCCACGGACTATCGTTACGCTTTGCGTGCCATAATTGCATAATTAAGGGGTTATACCACTTTGAAGTTTTCAAAAAATCCAAAAAATTTTTACGCGTTCATTTTACGCCTCTTTGCTTAAAACTGCATTTTAAAAATTCTTTTATAGAAAATGAAATCCCATGAGTGTCAGACCTTCCTCATAGCCTCCATATTCACGTTGGAGACTTTGATACGATTCGCAATACTCAGTTCGGAGGAAAGTTTCATGAACAATCGATCCCTCGGATGCTACATTCACATCCCCTTAAATGTCGATATTTTATCATCGGCTAAGTTCACGCCATATATATATATATATATGTACTATTCGTAGCAATATATATATACTTATTTATTTATTTATTTATTTGTGCATCTTCTTTTATCTTATATATATATAAGACGTCGTTCCGACATCCTCGAGATTCAGGGAGCGAGATTCGAAAGCAGCGAAACCGCGGCAAAGGGTGCTAACGCGAGTCGTTAACGAGTCCTCGAATTATCACCTATTAATTAACGTCACCCGCAGGTGCAGGGACAGAACGTGAGTCACCTTCTCAAATTGTTCTCAAGCTTCTGAAAGAATGAGAAGAAGAAAAAGAAGAAGAAAAAGCGTTAAGTGCAGCCCAGAGACCGTTTGCGCGTCGTCGAGACGTTCCCCAGTTTCGAGGGCTGTTGCGCAATGTTGGTGAACGCGGAGGTTTGCGCATAAGAGTTTCTTACGAAGTAGAAAAGAAGAGCGGAAAAAGGAAAAAGGATGACTCTCGAGGGGGCAAGAAGTGGAATATTTAAAACGGCTGATGAGCGTCAGGGAGATAAAAAGGAGCGCGCGGGTCTCTAAGGGCGAGCCTCGGCGATAAAGAGGAGGCAAGAAGTGAAGCTAAAATCCCGGAGGAGGCCAGGAACTTCCGCATAAACGGAAAGACCGTCGGAAAAGTCGCCGCAAACGAGCGTACCGGAAAACCGACGGCCTCCTTTACGCGCGTGCGTCATCCGACCGTCCGACAAAGTGAAAAGAGAGACGGATATGTGTGTACCGCGTAACGAAAATACCCGGTATAAATAAATATAACCATCGGCCGAGATTACGAGGTCTGGGGCTTGGGGTAAAATGAAACACGATCGACGTCGGTAAAACAGGTCTTTCCCAAATATGCCGACGTTCGTTTTTACATTGACAGCCGTGTCGAGTTATGTTGAGTATTGTACCAAGTGGCACACACCGTCTGTCGTTTTCAAGCAATAATTATAAAGAAATCGAAGTGGAAATCCAGAAATCACCTGGATTCATGCTTTCTGAGGCCCAAATTGACTGCAGAGGGACCCCTTGCGCCATCTGTGATTTCCCTGTCGATTAAATTCTCACTCCGAGACCTCGTATTGCCGTCGTTTTAGTACAGATAACGCATAAGACACTTTATTTGCCTTTATCCCGTTCAAATGCGAGTTTCTCGATTACCAGAGTGTTCTGAATTGTCATACAAATGTCCTGACCCTTTCGCTTCTCATATTAGAGCCTTCAATAATTGTATATCAATCGAAATATGAGAGCTCGACGCCATTATGGATCTGATCTGAGCTAAGTCAAAGAATTTCTTTTTTTTAAAATCCAAATTCTGAAAGTGTCAGGATAATTCCTAGGTGCTCGCGAGTCATGTGCCAAGTTTCGGACAGTTCTATCGAATACCCTTAAAAAAAAAAGAGAGAGAAAAATGTATTCGAATCTACTGATTTGATAGGAATTTCACTTCACCTTAACCCGTCCTTCCCCTGGAACCATTCAGGAAAGGAAGAAGAGGGAGGACCTCGACGGGCAAGATTCAGGAAAGTTCGGGTTAGGTCCCAAAACGAGAAGGACTGCAACGGTTCGGACGGAAAAAGGAGGAAGGAAGAAATAAGAGCACGATGACGGTACAAGGATGCATCTGCATCGTCGCAGCGGCCATTCGTGCGGGATTCGAAGGAGCGCGAGGATCGCATGCTATTAACGTGGTCGTTTCGTTCTTATTGAAATTCATTTAGAGAAAGTAGTACTTCGAAACAGGACTCGGTGCCACACGACCGGGTGCTCTGCCAGGGTGGATATATCCCAGGTAAATAAAGAATGTAGAAAAATTTAAGAATTCCATTGTGAAGCGCTAATATAGTGGGCCCCCTTCGTTCTCATGTATTCGAAACGAGAAATAAATATCCTATTCATATAAAGTATTAACACGGTGGTAGATCTTCGTAATTAACCCTTTGAGCGATAAGACCTTTTGACGTATGGGCAAATTTCGGCAGGGCGTGCAAGCGATATTCGACCAAACGTCGGACGAACTTTTGCGCCCTCGAAGCGTTAAGGTGATATGAAAGTGTGATATATACATGGGAAAAAATCAAAATATTTTTAAAACCTCTCCAAACTGGGTGCACCAAATTATCTAAAACTTTGACATTTTGCATTTATCTCGGACGAGAGCCGAAAAAATGATATTTCTCCTCGAGAAAATGAAACTTCACGGGTAGCGCGTTCTTCCTTAGAGCCTCCACGATCACGTGTTAAAGTTTCAGATAATTCGGTGCACCCAATTTAGGAGAAAAGTTTCATAAATATTTTCACCTTTTGTTAAGTACATATCACACTTTCATATTATCCTTAAAGGGCTAAAAGTTTGTTCTTTTTTTTTCTTCTTTTCTCTCTAGATTCTCTTCGGAGGGAATTTTAGACTTCCTTCGGGAGGGATCTAGACGGCTTTGTCGATCGTTGGGAGTCGCGATATCGCGCGATAAAAATATCCCACGAGGGGAGGAAACGTGCAGCCTCGTCCTGTCGATGGAAGGACGAGAACGCGGAACGAGCTCGCAAAGTTTAAGTTCCTGGCCGAGACGAATCGCCTCGTCAGGTGTTTCAAGGCTCGTCCGTATGTCTCGGCTGTCCCCGGCTCTGGCTCGTGGGCCGAATTTCAATCCCAGATCCTGAGGATCGCTTTCGTTCGCACATAAAAACGCGCGTCCCCGCGAGATATCGGTATCGAAATCGAATAGAAGCGGAATGCAGCGAGGTCGAAACGCCGAGATCCGCCACGTGGTTTTAAGACGCTCTCCCATCAAATTTGGAGTTACTAATTATCTTCTACTATTTATCCCCGCGAGATATCGATATCGAAATCGAATAGAGGCGGAATGCAGCGAGGTCGAAACGCCGAGATCCGCCACGTGGTTTTAAGACGCTCTCCCATCAAATTTGGAGTTACTAATTATCTTCTACTATTTATCCCCGCGAGATATCGATATCGAAATCGAATAGAGGCGGAATGCAGCGAGGTCGAAACGCCGAGATCCGCCACGTGGTTTTAAGGCGCTTTCCTGTCAAATTTGGAATTACTATTTATCTTCTACTATTTATCCCTGCGAGATATCGATATCGAAATCGAATAGAGGCGGAATGCAGCGAGGTCGAAACGCCAAGATCCGCCACGTGGTTTTAAGGCGTTTTCCTGTCAAATCTGGAATTACTATTTATCTCCTACTATTTATCCCCGCGAGATATCGATATCGAAATCGAATAGAGGCGGAATGCAGCGAGGTCGAAACGCCGAGATCCGCCACGTGGTTTTAAGACGCTTTCCTGTCAAATTTGGAATTACTATTTATCTTCTACTATTTATCCCTGCGAGATATCGATATCGAAATCGAATAGAGGCAGAATGCAGCGAGGTCGAAACGCCGAGATCCGCCACGTGGTTTTAAGGCGCTTTTCTGTCAAATCTGGAATTACTATTTATCTTCTACTATTTATCCCCGCGAGATATCGATATCGAAATCGAATAGAGGCGGAATGCAGCGAGGTCGAAACGCCGAGATCCGCCACGTGGTTTTAAGGCGCTTTCCTGTCAAATCTGGAATTACTATTTATCTTCGAATTTGGGACCTGCCACATGACATAAGTCCTGACGTAACGATAGATAGTTAACTCGATCAGTATTCGTCAAGTTATCACTCAAGTATTGGGCAACCTTGTAATCGAGATTGCAATCAAGCACAAAAAGGAACGTCCTTTTTATACGATAAGTGCATAATTGCGGAATGACAAGAACGCGTTACGCGTGTCACCGGTCATTTCTGCCAGCCACGGAGTGTCCGATCTGTTGGTAAATTAAAAACGCCAGTTCTAAAGAATCGCGAGTGGAATGATATCTTACGATCCTGTGCTTGTTCTTAAATCATATTTCATACTTAATCAGGGAGTGATAGGTCTCGGTTTTGGTTCAGATCGTCGTGTTGAAAAAATTAAAAAAGCCAGTTCTGCAGAATCGCGAGTGGAATGATATTTTACGATCCTGTTCTTGTTCTTGAATCATATTTCATACTTTATCAGGGAGTGATAGGCCTCGGTTCTGGTTCAGATCGTCGTTTTGAAAAAATTAAAAAAGCCAGTTCTGCAGAATCGCGAGTGGAATGATATTTTACGATCCTGTTCTTGTTCTTAAATCAAATTTCATAGTTTATCGAACTGATAGAGCCTCGGTTTCGTTGCAAATCTTCGTTTGGAGAAAATTAAAGAAAGCCAGTTCCAGAGAATTGCTAGTAAAATTATATCTCACGACCCTGTTCTTGTTCTTGAATTAAATGTTATTATTTAACAGGAACTGATAGAGCCTCGGTTTTGTTGCAAATCTTCGTTTGGAGAAAATTAAAGAAAGCCACTTCCAGAGAATTTCTAGTAAAATTATATCTCACGACCCTGTTCTTGTTCTTGAATTAAATGTTATTATTTAACAGGAACTGATAGAGCCTCAGTTTTGTTGCAAATCTTCGTTTGGAGAAAATTAAAGAAAGCCACTTCCAGAGAATTTCTAGTAAAATTATATCTCACGACCCTGTTCTTGTTCTTGAATTAAATGTTATTATTTAACAGGGACTGACAGAGACTCGGTTTCGTTGCAGATCGTCGTTTGGAGACAGCACTCGAGTCCGGCTTTCCAAAAATGGTCGCCGAGGAGGCAATCGTCGTGAGAAATGCCAGAAAATCCTACGGCAAAGGCTCGCCGATCCTCGACGGCTTCGACATGACCGTATCACGAGGCACCATGTACGTAAATTGCGTAACCGAGATTTCGTTAGACCAGGTATCGATCGAGTGTACGATAATTAAGAGGCTAGCACAGGTGGGGAAGAAGTGAAAGCGATAGCACGATCTCTCGACTGCCAAATTATTCCCTTTTTCTTTTTTATTATCACTCCGTGCACCTTCTTGTACCCCGGAACCGCCGAAATCCGTCGAGCCATTTACAGGGACCGTTAACAGGCAAAAAAAGAATTTCCAGCCGTAGGAAGAAAAAGAAAAAAAAAAGAAATTACATTCCCCGCAAGAAACGTAAATCCTTCAAAATGGGCCAGAAATCATTTTTATCTCGGCCGGAAAAAACAAAATGATTACCTCACCGGGACAATGGAAATTCTGTTCACACTTCTAACATTCTTTTCCAGCAACAACAGTACATCGCTCATTCGTTTGAGCAGCGATAAATTAATTTCCTAATTTGACAAGGATTTTTTCCTAACTCCAACGATTACGCCTACGATTCGGTATAATTGCAAACGTTTTTATTGCGATTAGTCATGATTTTATTAGTCATGCAGTCCTTTGATAAAAGTGCACATGTCTTTTCTTTTTTTTTTCGCGTACAGAAGGCAAGAAAAAGGTTCAAACTCCAGAAACGCGGGTAATGGAATAATTAATATCGAATATCACAGGCCGGAAGTGATTTGATTTCTTAACGTGTGACATAATCGCCCTCCTTTTTTATGACGCGTCATACGAGGGCATTTGAATTCCATCGGAAGGCCAAGAAAAAAAAAACCACGATCAGGAAATCGAATCGGGGGGAAATGAGGAATCCCGTAGAAGAGATCGATTGCGACGAAGTCGCAAAAAAAAAAAAGGACAAACAGATGAAAATGGATTTCTTGCACGCCCACAAGGCGACACGTGGACTCGTTACATTAATGAGCCTTCCATCCAGAAGATATCATTGCATTCGCGGGCTGAGACTTAGCTGAGACGTGTGCACGGTGCACTTTCCATGTCGAACGAGGTGAAAGTATCCTCAAAGAGGTATGGATGTTTATTTTAGAGAAATAAACACGCAGGGTAGAGAAGAAACGTGGTTGAGATATATATATATATATGTATATACATCCGTGTTAACGCGGTTTATTTGGGTTTCTCTTTTATTCCAGGGGCGGAGATTTCGTAAATTCGATTTTTCTTCGAGCACCGAGATGTTTCCCATTCATTCCTGCGCGTTTTAGACGACTTTCTCCACCGACGAGCAGGCAGAATCCGATCGTAACAATCGACAGAGATCTCCTCCACCCAGTAGTTTTCGTAAAAGTGACTCCACCACGTGGCTGATATTTCCCTCCGGCGGTAAAAACCTCTCAATAGTCTTCTAATTCTGCATCGTCAAATACTGCGAAAGGTATCTCTTTCCCCTGAAGACGACGTCCCTCGGCATCACCTTCTCGGACCTGGTTGCACCGCGTTGCGACGCCTCCACGGAACTCGAGGAGTCTGCGAGTTCGCGAGCTTTTTCCGATTTCTTCGTCCGAGGTAGAGTTCCTTTCGACTTAGGATCTTGCCCGGGGAAATCCTGACTCCTTCTGCTTTTTGTGGAAGGACGTCCTTCGGCCCTGGAGACCCTGAAGGTGTCGCGTTTGGGATGCTTCCTGGTGTGCTTCACGGGTCTCCTGTGGACCCCCAGAAGTCCCAGTCGACTCTCCACTGCGATTTTTTCAGGTGGTCCTTCAGTGGATCCCTCGATTGCTAACAACTCCAATGGGGCCTCTTCGTCACTTAAGTCGTCGTGAGATTTAATGACAACGTTTTGGTTGTTGTTGTCGTTCTCCGCAGAAGAGATGAACCCGTCTGTCGCGTCGCTCCTGTCGTTTCTGTCGTATTCGTCCCTTCTATCGCTTTTATCGCTTCTATCGCTTCTATCGCTTCTATCGCTCTCATCCCTTGTATCCAGCTCGTAGCTATTAGAATCAGTTTCCGAATTCCCGACAGTGACATTGACCGAAGTGTGTGGTCTCCTCTTATTCTCATCACCAGTTACTATCGGCGCCCCATCGTCCTCCGTGACATTAGGAACAACAATTGTTGTAGCTATCCCCAGGGCTGCAGTAGTTTCCTCTTCTCCTCCGATTTCCGGGGAAACTACTTCAGGTATCGTGACATGACCGATGGTCTCGGGTTCGACCTGGATGACAGCAGGTGAGCTACTTTCAGCTACTCTAATCGTAGTAGTAGCTACGGTAGTCGTTTCGTCTTCGTCAACGGTAGTCTTCGAAGCTACTGTGGTGGACTCTTCGACACTCTGGGTGGTCGTCTCCGGAATTTCCTCCCTTTCCGTAGTGCCTCCTGACGAGTCTTCGGTAGGTTCTTCAGGAACGGTTTCCGTAGTTACCAGCTCAGTAGTTTCCTCGGGGAACGTCTTTTCTTCGGGGATGACTTCCGTGGTCTCTTCCGATTCGCTACTTTCCTTAGACGGGGCGCTTTCGCTGCTTTCTTCGGGCGCCGGGGTTTCGGGAACGCCGACTCTCTCGATCGTCCTCGTGGTCGGGGTTTCCGTAGTCGTGGTACCGACCTTCACCCGAGAGTCGTCGCCGAGCTTGTCGAGGAGATTCCTGAAGCACTGCTTCTTGATGTAGTCCACCGGGACGAGCTCGTGCAAGAGGTTCACCACCTTCTGCGCGTTAGCGTTCTCCGGGTCTTCCCCAAAGAACAGCTGATCGTCCGGTCTCTGCAACTCCTTCCTGATGAGTAGTCGGCGAAGACTCTCGGCGTCGCGTAGCATCATCAACAGCAAATGTCGGCGATGTCCAATGGCATACTGCTTGAGTCTGACGGACCCACTGAACCCATCGTTAGGACCCGAATAAGAGGTCTTGGATCCAGGCCTCTTGTCCAAGAGCGAGATGATGTCCTCCAGGGTAAATATAGCCTCGTTCAAGACATCGATGACATTCTCGTCCCTCGGGTGATCAGGATCCCCGTGGATCAGCGTTCTGGCGGCGAGGAAGATGTCCTCGGCCAGGTTGCGGAAGACCCTGATGACCTGTTTCAGGACCATGCAAGCAGTGCTGACCCTGATATCGCCCCCCTCTAGCAATTCCCCAGTCAGAAGGATCAGTCCCTGGATCTTCCTCATCCTGGCCAGCAGCCGGTCGGTCTTCTCGTTACTTTCACACCAAGGATCCAAATCAGTCTCGAGGATCCCTCTGTTCTTCAGATGCCAAGGCCTAATGCTCATCTGATCCAGGATCGGCTCGACCTGCGTAGGCGTTAGTAAGGAGGCCAGGACCAATTCCCGCCTTTTCGTCGAGTTGTCTCGGTAGAACTGGCCGACTTTGAGGTTCACTTCCATGAGACCATCGCCCAGGGCGTAGACCAGCATCTCGCGGTTGAAGTAGGAGCCCTCGTCGGAAACTTGTAGACTGGCCTCTTCGGCACTTTCCGTCTGGACGAATTCAACAGTCTCAGATGAGATCGGTTCCGAGGCCTGGGAGGAGTCACTGGACGCAGACGAAGACAACTGGGAGGTCCTGCGCCCTGCCCAAGCGGGGCCTGCCGACAGGACGAGCACCAGGACGAGCAGCACTCTCGGCTCCATCTTCCTCGCACGACTGGGGCCCAGGGGCCCGATCTCCTCTGCTTTATCGCCCATCGATCTATTTCGGCAGGATCGATTTCCTCGTTACGGTCGCGCCTCTCTCGCGTGCATTACCTCGAACAAAGGGGTGACCGACGCGATCACAGACCGTGAACGTCGTCGCGGATAAAATGCCAATTGTTCCCGAGGATAATTTATCGTTACGAGCTGGGGGGAGGGTTTTAAGATCGGACCCGGCACTTGGGGACTCGCTAGAATAGATTAGCCCCAGCAATCGGCTACCATACGCTAGCGATAGAGAAAATGGCCTCTTGTGCCCACTAGAGTGCAATTGTCGCGTGGACCGTTCCGACTGTGTGTGGGAACCTGCGATACGGTGCTTTCGTTTATGGCTTTGACACTTAGAAAATGGCCTTCTCCGAAGGCTGGCGCTCGAGAGAAGTCCACGGACGGAGTTTCTCAGGTGCAAAGTGCCGAACGATGGAGTAGGAAATGGCTCCTCGCAGCCGGTTGCATATCCGACCAGCAGGAACTCGGTGGAGTACTTCGACCAACAAGGGGATTCATTTGCATATTCTTTCTCCCGACCACTCGGAAATCCTAGACGGTGGCTTTCCTTGGATCTCGCGACTCGTTCTCGATACGCCAGGACCCACCGTTTGCGATCAATCGCTGTGACGAGGGCGATGCACATGACACGGATAACGAACTGTCACGAATACTCCGTTTGATGAGTGCACCGCTCGTTATGACGAGCCGCTGACGAAACCGAGTGTCGGCACACTTTACGATCGCTCCTCGGCTTTACTGCCGATCGTTTTCCTCTTCGTTCCGTTTCCCCTCGAGATTGCGGGCCAATTGTTGCTACTTTCTCCCCAGGACACCACGTGGCTCCGGAGCCGAAGTCGTCCAGTCGGGAAGACGAACTCAGCCCAGCTAGCTCCTCCAGATCGGCCCGTTCTCGTAAAACGCGTGATCTAAAGATCTAGGAGGTATTCCCTTAGGAGATCATGGCTTTTCATTCGCTAAATCATGGTTTTCAATTCTCGAAATAGCGGGGAAGTCGGCTAAACTTTCCTCGAATTTCAGGACCGACCGTCGTCAGTTACCGAATCGCAGTGTCGCGTGTCATGCGAGAAAGTCAATCGGTTATCACGGAAGGAGATGGTTTTCACATACTTCCGGGTGAACAGCCTCTCGATAACGATAATCGTAGGTCCTGACGTAACGCGTCGGTTTTCAGTTATGGACTCCTTGGAGCTAGTGGTTGCGGCAAGACGACCCTTCTCTCCTGCATCGTCGGGGTGAAAAAGTTGGACGGTGGTAAGGTATGGGTCCTGGGGGGGAAACCAGGATCCCAGGGGTCTGGGATCCCTGGACCACGGGTGGGATACATGCCCCAGGAGATCTCACTGGTGAAGGAGTTCACAGTGATCGGTGCCCTCTACTACTTCGGCAGGATAAACGGCCTGGACGACGGGGCCATAGGTAATCTGCATGCATCTGGATGTGCAAAAAAGCGAAGGAGTGGCGTATATCCTATCTCTCTTATTTCTTTTAACATCAGAGGAGAGGTACGGATTCCTCTCGGAGCTTCTTCAGCTACCGCCGAAGAATCGCATGGTGAAGCACATGAGCGGTGGACAGAAGCGCAGGGTGTCCTTCGCAGCAGCCCTGGTCCACAAACCGGAGCTGCTGATCCTGGACGAGCCGACGGTGGGCCTGGACCCGATTTTGCGAGAGAAGCAAGTATATCAATTCCCCTAGGACGAGGAGAAAAAGAGGAAAACGATCCTTGGGGGTATTCCCCCAGGAGATGATCGCTAATTTCTTTGGATTTGGCTCGACAGCATCTGGCAATTCCTGGTGAAAACCGCCCAAGAGGAGGGAACCACGGTCGTCATCACCACGCACTACATCGAGGAGACTCGGACCGCCAATAAGGTATAAATCGGTATCGATGAATCGACCTAGGGGTTCTTTCAAAATCAATGCGAGATCCGATAAGTCTCGATCGATGATTAGATCGGACTGCTGAGGAGCGGGAAGCTGCTGGCCGAGTCCTCGCCAGGAGAGCTCCTCGCCAGGTTCCGATGCGACACTCTGGAAGAGGCCTTCCTGATCCTGAGCCAAAGACAGAAGGAGAGACAAGACGGCGGCCAGGTCGAGTCCGTGACGGAATTGACGACCGAACTCGAGGAGATCGTCGATACCTCAGGAACCGACCAAGGAGTCACTCGGAACGGCCTGGGGGAATTCGAGGTACGGGGGAGTCAGCCATTACATCCCTTATTAATATCAATCTATATTAACTGATCTTGCAGACGAAGAGCGAGAAACTGATTTTGAGGAGGAACGAGAAAGAGGGTAAAGAGAGGGTGCACGTCATGAGGAGACGGAGGTTCCGAGCCTTGATGACGAAGAACGCGATTCAGTTCCTTCAAAATCCAGGGTGAGCAAAGCCCAAAAGGTGGCGATCTCGAAAGGACCTTTCCCTAGCTTCTTTGGTACTAATCCTTTCCGGCCCAGGGGGATCCTGTTCTCCCTGGTCTTCCCCCTGATCCAGGTGATCCTGTTCTTCAACGCCATCGGTCGAGACCCTAAGGGTCTCGTGATAGGAGTCGTCAACCAAGAAGCAGGCGATTGCAACCACGGCGTACACGTGGGGAACGTCATCTACGACCCAGGGAACGACACCTGCGACTACGTGGACCTGAGCTGCAAATTTTTACACGGCTTCGAGGAGTCGGTCGCCACTGCGGTGAGTAGTTGAATAAATTGACCACACACTCCACCCGGTGCCCCGAACAGTCGGAAAGCTAAACCCTTTTCGAGAACCGGAAATCCAAGTCGAGCAGGAAAGAGGCCAACCGCTCGGTCTTGAATCCGAGGTCTTATTAATATCGGGACCGGTTGCCATAGGACCGGAAGTCATTTTACGCCCGGAATAAATTCTGTTCCATATTCCACGGTGGAAAAACCCTAGTTACATCGTTTACATGCGCGGCAGGTATTACGCCGAGTTTAGGCCTTATTTTCGCCGTGGCCGATATTAAAAAGGTCGGCTGAGCCAAACTCGTACACGGAGAACCTCCACCAAGAGTCCGTTTCCTTGAGTGAGTTTTTTTGGTGACGCTCGCTTTGACGTCAATTTCAGACATTTTTCAGCGACCTGGAGGAAGCCAGCCACGCGGTCAGGACGGGAAAAGTCGTGGGGGCGATGTACTTCGGGAAGAATTTCTCAAAGTCCCTTCACCACCGGCAGGACAACTTCAAGGAGGCGAGCGTAGAGGAAGTCGTAGCCGGGGAGATCCAAGTGTGGCTCGACATGGGAAGTACGTGAAATAAAATTCAATTTCCCCCGGCCACGTTGATAGAAAAGTCATTTCTCCAATTGTTCCGTACATCCGTATGTCCTTTACAGACAGACAGATCGGCCTACACGTCCAGAAGAAGCTGTACGAGCGATTCTTCGAGATCTACGAAGAGATCATCGTGCAGTGCAACATCGCCGTGAAATTCGCGGATCTCCCCATACGGGTAAGGGGAATTATTAATATATGAAAGGGTCACTCAATATATACATATATTAAACGTCAAAATATATATATAAAACTTATCTCCAAACCGGGTGCATCGAATCATTTGAAACATCAGCATATGATAATGGAGGCCCTAGTAAAGAATATGGTACCCATGAAATTTCATTAAAAAGAAAATATATATATATACATTCATAGGATAAATAAAATTTGTGCGCCAAATATGAAACGTTTGGAGAAGAGTTTTATCAATATTTTGACATTTCATATATACGTATAAAATGACCCTATGGTGTCGTCATTAAAATCACGAGAAGTCGCATCTGCAGTGGTAAGTGGAGTAATTAAGGGAATCAACGAAATGACCGAAAATCTGAAAATTCCAGTTCGAGGAGCCGATTTTCGGGGACAGTGACCAGAAGTACTCCACCTTCATGGCGCCCGGATTCCTCCTAACGTGAGTGTCAAATGAATTCCCTACATCATTTCGAGTACCAACGAGAAGGGATTGGCATTGAAAATTTAATTGAAAAAAGAAAAAAACAAAAAGAAAAATAAAAATAACCCATGGAAAAAAAAGAAAGAAAAATTTGTCCAAATTCCAGAGTGGCATTCTTCCTGGCGACGTCGGTGTCGTCGAGTGTCATCATAGCCGACAGACACGAGGGCGTGTGGGACCGAAGTTTGGTGCAAGGTAAAGTGACTTCCTGCCCGTTTATAACAAACGGCCGTGCAGGGAAAACAAACTAGGGACCATCCATCTAGCGAGCTGCAATATATAGCGGCGGGGCTAATCGAGTCACGGTGTACTAGGCGATTTCAACGGTCGATTGTTCCCGAATTGGGTTGGAGAGAGAGAGAGAGAAAGAAAAGAAGAAAAAGAAAAACATAAATAATAATAGCCGGCGCTCGGATGGTGTCGATTTGCATGCAGGCCACGTACCGAGGACCTCCGGGAAGAATGTCATATCGGAGCCGGCCGAAGCGTAAATGAATCATTTTCAGAACGACCGAGCACTTCCGCGTTCACTTCCGGAAAGTTCGCTAAGTATTACGGGAACAGTGATCCCGTAATACTTAGGGACTTTCCGGAAGCGCCACCGCAGAATAGTCGAGGAGAAACAGCCCTAAGCATTAATACCAATTTCTGGGGGAAAAAGAAAAGGACAAATTTTCGCGCGACCTACCCGACGCGGGAGGAGCTACGCTGATTAAAATGCCCACATGTAAATTTCTCAATTATTGATTATTTCGACGCCACGATAAGTCGCAGGGAAATTACATCCCACTAAACACACTGTGTTACAGTTACATAACACTGGAATAACATGACATGTAACGAATGTTAGTCAAAACATACATTAATGTCATATTACGTCGAATTATTATCGTTCGGTAACAGTATTACAAACTTGTTAGCATTGCAGTTATATAATATTGAGATAACATGTAACATGTTGCCGATATCTTGTGTGTATACGGTACATTATTCGTTTCATAACGGTGTTATACGGCTGCGGAGGAAATAGTACTGCAAATCTTACTTGTATATTATATGTATGTCACGTTACATGTTACAAATGTTATGCAACCGTTATATTATTGTCACGTTACCGTGTTTGGTGGGATTGTCTCGGTAATATCGCATTAAATCCATGTAGAAATTCACTAATACGGAAAATGTATAGTGTTACGTGTATCTATACATTTTCTAATTGGTAACTTTCCCATTTTACGTTTCCCTACGTGAAACTTAAGCCATGGAGTGTGTAAAAAAATGTATACTGAAATTTCCGTGGATTTTTATCAGCGTAGATTCCATTATCAAAGGCTCGCTTCGTTAAGAATTAATTAATCCGTCCGTCGAGCAATCGAGAGCGTAGATCACGGAAACATAATTAATGATACATTTTCTAATTGGTAACTTTCCCATTTTACGTTTCCCTACGTAAAACTTAAGCCATGGAGTGTGTAAAAAAAAATGTATATTGAAATTTCCGTGGATTTTAATCAGCGTAGGTTGCATTATTAAAGGCTCGCTTCGTTAAGCCCCCGGGCGAAATTAATTAATCCGTCCGTCGAGCAATCGAGAGCGTAGATTACGGAAACATAATTTATGATCAATGCACGGATGACATTAACTTATCTCGACACCAGCCTCGAATTATCGGGTGATTTCTTACGCACTGTCACGACAGAGATCATTATTCATTCTTCTTATCCCTATATTTCTTACATCGCGCGGACAAGTTTCTTTTCTATCTTTATATATATATGAGGATATATATTTATATTTCTTTATATTCCTTTGTATATATGTAATCATGTCATGTTCTCACATCCAGGCGTCACCACTGCGGAGATCCTGACAGCGCATATCTTGACACAGATAACAGTCATCATTGTGCAGGTGACAGTGAGTCTGAGCCTTAGTTTCGTGCAATTCCAATTACCGTGTAAAGGCTCATTGACAGCTGTCATAATCCTCGTGCTGATCACCGGAATATGCGGCATGTGTTACGGTGAGTTACGAAGTAACAGAAAAAACAAAAAAAAAATGGAAAATAAAAAATAACATCTATCGTTCGAATTTCACAACTTCCAGGTTTCCTAATTTCCGTCATGTGCACCTCTCACACAATGGCGAACTACGTGTCAACCGGAACCTTCTACCCGGTCCTCCTACTTTGCGGTACCATATCTCTATTTTCTTTATAAAAAGCAAAAAACCTAATTTACTAAAGGCGCCCGACGTTTGGTCCAATATTGCCTGGACGGTCAGACGAATTTCGCCCGTATGTCGAAATGGCTCCGTCTTCAAAGGATTAAACAACTGCATTTCTCTTTAGGGTGCATATGGCCGATCGAGGGGATGCCCAGATTTCTACGGTGGATCAGTATCTCCCTTCCAACCACGATACCAGCCATCTCCATGAGGGGTCTCCTGGACAAGGGGTACCCAGTGAACGACCCCCAAGTATACAGTGGATTCCTAGTGGTCTCAGGATGGACGGTGTGCTTGGTCGTCCTCTGTTTTCTGGGCCTGAGATCGAAGTCGGCGTCCTAGCGCTCGTTTTCGGGGTATATCAAGCAAGGAAGAAGAAAAGAAACGAGCCCGCTAGCCGAATTTCGATTTCCCCCGGGAGATCCTCTCCCCCGGGAATAAAAAAACTGAGGGAGTCCAGGAAAGACCCCGGGGATTCTGGATGGTGGAGGAAAATATCAAAAGCCACTCGTAGGGCCCCAAGGCCCGACGAAGGACGGGCCTCGACGTTTCCGCGTTCGAAACAGGGTTTTACGCTTGTAAGATATCGAAGGACTCTTTTTTTCTTTTCCTGGATTTCGTATCCTTAAGGTGACGTGAAAGTGGCGTCGGAGGGGTCTCGTTTATGAAAACTTTTCTCCGAACTGGGCGTACCGAATCGTTTCATACTTGATAATGCGAATGTAGAGGCTACAAGGAAGGTCCTAACCCCCATGAAATTACGATTTTTTTTTTTTTTAATTTATTTATAGATATTGTCATTTTTTTATTACAAAGAAAAAGATGAAATTTCATGGGTGTCAGGACCTCGCTTGTAGCCTCTACATTCGCGTTATCAATTACGAAACGATTCGGTACACCAAGGTTTGGAGAAAAGTTTCATCTCAATTTTTTTTCTAATTTTGTTATAGATATTGTCACGTGTTTTTATTACAATAGAAAAGATGGAATTTCATGGGTGTCAGGCTTTTCCTTGTAGCCTCTACATTCGCGTTATCAAGAACGAAACAATTCGGTACACCGAGATTTGGAGAAAAGTTTCATGAACGATTGACCCCCGTCGATGTCGCTATCACGTCCCCTTAATCTCGCGCATTTTCCCATCTTTCCGAATGACTCTGCCGACTTTTCACGGGGGAAGGGAATCGCCGTAAGGTGCGTACGAGTGGCGACCGATACTGTTATCGAATTTACAGGTCGTCCCCTCGCGAACGACTATTACCGTGCGATCGCCGTCGCCAAAAGTGTCACGTGTTTAGTATTTTATCCTGTTTATATTAAACCTCATATGGCACGCGACGCCAGCGGTCGAGCCACTGAGAAACATGCGAAAGTTTCCCTGCACTTCGTAGATTGTGCTAAGTTCACTCGGAGCCGTTAACAATCTGTACCATTAACCCTTTGGCTACTAAGAGCGCCTAAAGGCGCTCGACGTTTGGTCCAGTATTGCCTGCACGGTCAGACGAATTTCGCCCATATGTCGAAACGGCTCCGTGTTCAATTGGTTAACTAGTTAACTGCGTTCGACGTGTATACACGTCGGTAACCCGGGTTACAGGTTAAGGGGATGCGAAAGTGGCATCAGAGAGGTCTCGTTTGCGAAACTTTTATGCGAACTGGGTGTACCGATTCGTATCAAATTTGACACCGTGATCATAAAGACTATAAGAAAGGTCCTGGCGCCGACGAAATTTCAATCTTTCAAAAACTTGTTTATAGACGTTTTCCAAAGTTTGCATAAAATATGAAATTTAAGGATGTGAGAACCTTCCTTGAAGCTTTCAAAAATTTGTTTATAGGCATTTTTCAAAGTTTGCATAAAATATGAAATTTAAGCGGGGGTCAGGACCTTCCTTGAAGCTTTCAAAAACTTGTTTATAGACATTTTCCAAATTTTACATAAAATATGAAATTTAAGGGTGTGAGAACCTTCCTTGAAGCTTTCAAAAATTTGTTTATAGACATTTTCCAAATTTTACATAAAATACGAAATTTAAGCGTGGGTCAGGACATTCCTTGAAGCCTTCTCATACACGTTGTACAGTCTGAAACGATTCGGTACACCCAGTTTGGAGAAAATTTGTATAAATGATCGAGCCCCCCGGATGTCCCTTTCGCATTCCCTTAAAAGAGATAAATTCAGGATCTCGGGAGCGAAGGTGCAGGGATCGCATTAGTGAGTGTACAGAGTAAGTTTAAGCTTCCATAAATGTCCCCTCCCGAGAAACGAATTTCCAGGCCCCAGGAGGTGCCTTATTCCTATAAGAATCTCATGAACAATCTCTCAAACATTTCCCCGCCCGTCGACGAATTCTTTTCCCGCAAGGGCTTAGTCGAATCACTAGTACCTAGAGAGAACGCTATCCGAAATCCTCCTTACTCGGTCGACAAAGAATAAATTATTTATAAGCAATTCGACTGTTAATTATTTCAAGTACAAGTGTCGACTCACCGGGAAGAGCTCGCGCCTCCTTCTGGTCCTTCGAGGGGATGCTTCTTCTACGCAGCTTAAAAGCTCCGAAAGATGAAACTCCACCTTGAAATCGATGAACATCTAGTCCGATCTTCGCGCGATAATATTTCCACTGATTACATCCAAGAGATGACAAAAGGTACGAAACTTACGGGCGAGTAATTTCCTTTACAGTTTATTCCCCCCATTATATACACCCTCGTCGACTTCGTGCATGTCGCGTACACACCCGTGGCATAGTGGTACATCTTACCCCCGAATATACGTCGTATAAACGTAGGATATACGATCCGATTCAGCCGAACAATAAGCGAGTACTGGAGCTAGGTCCAAGATGTCCGCGCGAGTAACAACAACAAGAGGTGTATGTCCATCGGCGAAATATAAACAAACCTCGGGTGAGATTTCCGACCGACTCGCAAAGAGCTCTCTTATATCGATCCCAGAGTACTTAGACCCGTCTAAAGCCTTAACTTGACCTTAACTTAGGAACTACGGAAAATCGATCTCCAAGCCTGACCGAGTACAACGGAATCGAAATAATTCTCTGAGCAACAAAGGTCGACGGGGTGGTACACACTTCTAAGCCGAAAGAAAATTACCGTCTACTTAGGATACGCAAGAGTAATTCAAATCATTAGGTATCTACGGGTACTAAATGAAATACCAAGCGACGAGGTACGGGACAGCTCGTTCGCGTAGACCTTCTTCAGGGCAACGACAGATACATTTCTAGCACTGGGTATGTAACCTACGATTATAAAATACGCTTACACGGTATAGCACTCTGTTCAGGTACACAAAATAAATCGTTCTTCTCTCGCCTCGTCACATTCCTCGTGGAACTCTTCGGCGTCTCTTCTCGGCCACTCCCTCTTCTCAAGACCCATTTGTTTATAAATCAGGCTCCAGGGGACTACAGCCTTGAAGAAAGATCTTAGGTTTACAAGGAAAAAGCCTCTAAGTTTCGCGCCGCCTCGAAAGTCTCGGATTTCCGACACGGATCGATAACTGCACCTCGTTCAACGTACCGATCTACAAAAAAATTCATAAAAAATCAACATCTCGAAGGAAAACGCTTTCCTATCGCCCAGACAACAAAGATCGACCTCAAGCACGCGCCCCGTTTCATAGAATAATCCTCGGAACATCGTTAACGTTAATAATCTCGGTTCGTATTCCCCTAACTGCAGCTCGTCAAAGGAACCGATCTACAAAAAAATTCCTAAAAAATCAACATCTCGAAAGAAAACGCTTTCCTATCGCCCAGACAACAAAGATCGACCTCAAGTACGCGCCCCGTTTCATAGAATAATCCTCGGAACATCGTTAACGTTAATAATCTCGGTTCGCATTCCCCCAACTGCACCTCGTCGAAGGAACCGATCTACAAAAAAATTCCTAAAAAATTAACATTTCAAAGAAAAACGCTTTCCTATCGTCCAGTCAACAAAGATCGACCTCAAACACGTGCCCCGTTTCATAAAATAATCCTCAAACATCGTTAACGTTAATAATCTCGGTTCGCATTCCCCCAACTGCACCTCGTCGAAGGAACCGATCTACAAAAAAATTCCTGAAAAATTAACATTTCAAAGAAAAACGCTTTCCTATCGTCCAGTCAACAAAGATCGATCTCAAGCACGCGCCCCGTTTCATAGAATAATCCTCGAACATCGTTAACGTTAATAATCTCGGTTCGCATTCCCCCAATTGCACCTCGTCGAAGGAACCGATCTACAAATAAAATTCCTAAAAAATTAACATCTCGAAGGAAAACGCTTTCCTATCGTCCAGATGACAAAGATAGACTTTAAACGCGCACCACGTTGGGTAAAATAATCCTCGGAAATCATTAACGTTAATAATCTCACAATCACTTCGCATTAGCCGTCAATCCGAGTTTTCGAGCCGGGACCGAGACTACTTTAGGCGTGTTGTGACGATAGCACGTTGCGAATAGTAATTACGGTATTGTCTTTAGCGTCAAGGTTTTTGAGGTTTTCGAAGACGTGTACGTTGTTGTTGTTGATGTTGTTAGCCGTGCTACTAACGCAACTGGAGTCGTAACTACTACGTCTGTTAGTAGCATGATTAGTATGGTTAGCGGTAAGGCAGGGGCCGCATCGGATTGGCATGGGACGAGCAGCGACAAGACAGTCAACTATCTGTCTTACAGTAGGCATGCAGGTTTTGCCGTTCCCTGGAAAACACACATCACATGCTGCATCAGAACAGAAACATCGCATGTACTTCGCCCACGCAATCGAAGAAACGCTCTGGGGTGATCGTCGCCCATGAATACGAAAAAAGTAGGGGGAGATTAAGGGGAGATTTGGCACTTCATCATGGCCTTCCATCAATGGGACACCTTGCAGGATCATGGGACACCTTGCAGGATCATGGGACACCCTGCAGGATTATGGGACATCCTGCAGGATCATGGGACACCCTGCAGGATTATGGGACATCCTGCAGGATCATGGGACACCCTGCAGGATCATGGGAGAGGAAGTCACACAAGACACTCGAGTCGCGACTGCGTGAGGGAAGTAACGCGGTGGGAAAAGTACTCCCAATGGGGTTAATAGACACACATACGGAGGTACATCGACACGTAGGGTATAGAAAAAGAAGAAAAAGAGGAGCCTCGATCGGGGAAATCGTCCTAGGACCCCTGGGGTCCGGTTCTCCAGGAAACACGTCCTGGGGGTGCTCGTTCAGTTCGCAACCCTGAGGAAGCTCGACTTCGCTCGAGCTCGGAAGAAAAGGGAACGAACAGGTGTCGCAGGTGAAGTCGAGGGAAGGAAACAAATCGAGGCCTCGATCGAGACACCGGAAGTGGTTGCAAAGTGAAGCACCCTCGAGAGGGAACGTTTCTGGGGGGGCACTGATAAAAATCGTTGGAAATTTACATACACTTTCTATAGTTTACCTCGTACACTGAATCTGATGTCACAGAGACGGGGTAATTTCCCTGCAATATGTCGTGACGTCTAAATAACCCATGATTGAGTATGCAAATTTACATGGGCACCTTTATCAGTGTCGATTAAAAAGAAGAGAAAATAAATCGGACCCTTTCTCCCTCTCTCTGCTCCTCTACGTCCGTTCTCTCTGTTCGGCGCCTTATCAAGGGCGCCCTATCTCCCTCTCGTAAGCTGGTGTGGTAATAAAATATATAATATATATATTTATATGTAAGTACTTGGCACATCGCGCTAAAAGGACGCCTCAAAGCGAGATCTTAGGAGCGCATACTTCATGCACTAAAAAAAAAGACGAGAAGTCTGTCCCTCTAAAACGCCGGCTGGGGTGCTTCGAGATTTCGAGAAAAAATATATATATCCGTGTTTAATCGTCCCATCCCCATGGAAGCTAATAGGCTATATACCTGGCCAATTTCCTATCCACATTGCAGGACACACTTGAAACGAAATACAATAAAAAAGAAGAAGAAAATCTCGAAGCAGCCTCTCTTCGTCTACGTGCTGGAGAACGTGTCGTCGATGGCTGCCCGAAAATCCTGCCCACACATAAAATCGCACGATTTCCGGTACCTATTCTCAAAATTCCGCTATCACCCCAAAATCCGTACTCTTATCACCTCGTACTTCCCTTATCTAACGAGATACTTCGCGACTAACGCCCCATATATACGTCGTATACTCCACTTCTCTGTCATTTCTTTCTTTTTTTTTTCTTGGATTTTCTTTCCTCCCTTTTCCTCTTTATTCGTAAAGTTTCTATGCTTCGATGACTCGATACTCGATATCTACCGAGAACCAGCGAAAGCTTTGTATATTTTCTTTCATAACAATACACGGAGGTGCTTTATTTTTTTTTTCGTTTTTTCTTTTTTTTTTCCTTTTCATTTCCCCGTAATTATCGTCTAGATAGAAATTCAGTCTAAATTATGACACTTCCAACTGCGAGGTGAAGTTTCGATGAGCTTTCTTCTTTTATATATATATATATGTATGTATGTACTTAATGGCGAGCTGGCAGCTCCCTTGGTTGATAAAATTAATTCAACGTTACGTTATAGGTTTATACATGTGTATAAATATATGCTTAGTAGTATATTGGCGCACTTCGGGGATTGTCATCATGACTTGTTTAATGATTCCTTTGGAAATAAGTCTAGGTCGACCTTAAAGCATCGCTCAGCTCCTGCAATCTCGGATTAATGAGGCTCTCACCGAGGATCGCTTAAAGTGTCACGACTAAGCGTGGCGAATTCCAATTAGAATTGAACACGTTAGATTGGGATCGCATTGCATCCAGTACAAGCGACAATGTACCCCATGTCAAGTACCGGATTCGCGAATCGATGTCCCATCAAGGTGGGTCTCGTTACTTCCTGGCTCGTCTCTCGAGATTCCTATTTTTCGGTCCAGTTAAAAGATACCACGAGAAGAAGGTCGGAAGAGCGAAGGAAAGAGTAATTGGTTAAATCGGACGAAGAGAAATGATCGTCCCTCTCGTCAGGGTCGATTCGACGATTCCATCTCTTTCGACGAAGAGAATTGAAATTATGGAGAGGAAAAAGAAAGAAAAAAAAACAAAGGGAGAGACTGCTGACTTCTTCCGCTAGACCCCAACTACAGGGCAGTCTCCTTGTCGCTGATGATCTTGATCCCGTGCTTGGTGAGGACCATCCTGACGACGTCGCTGTCCCTGATCTTCCGAGGATCAGAGATAGAGGACTCGGCCTCTTCGAGGGAGTCCAGATTGTCGGTAGAGGAGTCCAAATGGCCCAGATCGTCCGCCGACTTCAGGAGCGGCCTCCGCTTCTTGGTCCTCGAAGTATCCTTACGAATGTTATCGGCCGACCCGATGAGTCCGTCCCCTTTGGACCGGAAGTACTTCTCAGAGATGGCCGAGATCTCCTGCCTTCTGTTGTACTGCAAGTTGTCCACCGAAGAGTACCTCCTGTTCTCCCTGGAGCCCTCCGCGACGTTCCTGCCGGTTAGTGATCCTTTCCTGCCGATGGAGGAGCCCTTTTTCTCGGCGCCCCCGGTGGCCCTCGTCAGCAAGGACACCTCATCCTTGGGAAGCGACTGCCGAAGGACCCTGACGCTCTCGCTGGAAGAACGAAGGAACTTCTCTTTAACGCGAGATTCTCTAGTCCTGCGAAACCGATCCACGAGGACGTCCGACTTGGAGAGTTCCTTCCTAGGAGGCCTCCTCGAAGCCGAGGACTTGCGGGTCCTTATCGAAGAGATTCCAACCTCGGAGGAGGACTCGATGAGAGTTATCTCTTCCTTCGACGTCGCGTTTACGTTCTGCAGGGTTTGGCACTTCTTCGGGTCCTCGACCTCCAGACCCAGGTTCTCGATCTCGAATTTCTCCTCGGGGCTCCCGTCCAGCTTCACCTCGGTGGCCTCTTTCGGCAGGCTCAGAGGTAGACTTCGGATGATGCCCGATCGTTTGTCCTCGACCTCTGGTAACGTTCCTAGGATAGAAGTTCCCGCGACGTCCGGGTACGCTCCAGGGTCGGCGCAGATCTGGCAAAGCTCGCAAACCTCTTCCTCGTCCACGATGCCGACTTTGTAGTCGAGAACTTCCCCGGAGCCCTGAAGATGGCACACGTTGCAGATGTCGCACTGGGTGGAGTCCTCGCAAGGGGAGCTCCCCGTGGACTTCAAGGTGTAAAAGGTCTCCTGATTGAGAGTGTCTTCGGCAATCGATGGGTCGTTCCCGTAGCAGCATTCGGAGCAGAACTCCTCGCTGGGCATATCAAAATTAGGTGCCGTAACCAGCCTCGAAGTGCTGTCGGACTTCAGCTTCAGCGAGTCGTGATAAGAGATCTCAAAGGTCTCGTAAACGGAGGTGGACTTGCTCAGGTCTGACTTGATGAACTCGTAGCTCTTCGACTTCTTCGTGACGGTCTCCAAGGATTTCGAGTATCTGGCCTCTTTCGCGGACTCGTTCGCGTTTATCGAGTCCAGACTACCCTGAAGAGTACCCTCTCGTTTCCTGGACTTGCCAATTTCCGAGACCGAGGCCGCCTTTTCGCCGATCGCTTCGGCCAGCCCTTCGTGGTCGTCCTCCTGGATCTCGAAGCTGGCCGACATCTTCTCCAGCCTCTTCCTCGAGCTCCTCGGCAACCCTCTTTCGGTCGCGAAGTCGTTCGGCCGGAACTCGAAGACCTGCTTCAACTTCTTCGGGCTCTTCCGCAAGTTCACCAGGGACTTCAAGTACTTCCCGTCGATGTCTAAATTTTCAGCCCCAGGGTCTTGATTCTCCTCCACTCCCTCGGGCCCTGGATCTACGTTAGATGCTTCAGCCACTCCAGGCTCACCTTCTTCGGCATCTTCTCCAACTCCCAGTTGTGTTTCTTCGGCGAGTCTCGGGCGATCTCCCTTGTCCTCTACCTCTACCCCTACGGAAGATACTTTCTCCTCGCTCCGAAGTGACCTCGCCTCATCGATCGGTTTCTCCTCTTCAAGGCCTCCGTCCCCATCGCAGGGTTCCTTACCCTCCTTAAAGTCAACTTCGCGCGATTCGTCATCACCGGAGGAATTCTTCTTACAGCCAGAGTTCACTTCGTTCGACTCCATCGGCTTCTTTTCTCCCAGGTGTCCCTCGACCGAGGAAGATTGGTCCACCTGGGACTCAAGGTTCTCCGAAAAATCCTTCAGGGTCCCCTCCTGGCTCTCCTCGCTACCGTTCCGTGTCACCAGCTCCAAATCGTCACTCATCTTCTCGACTTCCTTGCTACCGACTTCGTCGTCCGGTGAACTTCCTGCATTACTCAATACACTCTCGGACAAAGTGCCCCCGGACCCCCCGCCCAGGCTCTCCTCAACGGAAGACAAAACGACCTCGCAAAAACCCTGAAGACCCTCCCCCGACCTACTTATAACCTTCTCCGGGTCCCTAGCATCCACGACCAACTTGTTCCCTTCCTCGACCTCGATCGGATTGCCAGCATCGGCGACACCCTCTTCAGCATCTTTACCCTTAGTGTTATCCGACTTCTCCTCGACATCGTTAACTTTATCGACCCTACGATCCTCCACCTCTTCCCTGGAGTCATCTACAAGACCCTCGGTCCTCTCGCCTACGTCTTCTTTGAGGACCCTAGACCCTTCGTTATCGTCACAGGAATTTTTCTCCTTATCGTCACGCGAATTTTTCTCATTATCGTCACACAAATTTTTCTCATTATCGTCACACAAATTTTTCTCATAATCGTCCCAGGAATTTTTCTCCTCATCGTCACACATATGTTTCTCCTTATCGTCACAGGAATTTTTCTCCTTATCGGGGGAACCTACCTCGCCGAGAATCTGAGACTCTCCCGTCTCGGAAGTAATAATCTGCTTTGCCTGACCCGGGTACGCAGTCTTAACGGGCGTAACGAGCTTGTTCCCGTTATCCGCAATCACGCTAAACAATTTCTCGCGCAACTGATCGGCCTCTTCGAGGTAGCCGGACCTCGAGGAGGCGAAGATCGGCAGGTTCTGCAGATTTTTACGGTAAACGGCGTCGGGCACCTCGATGGAAATGACCTCGACAGGGCTCGGGGACTCCATGATAACGTCGCTGGGCGAGGGCGTTAAAAAGGTGCTCTCGTATTTCCGATTAATATTCAAGTAATCGTTAGCGTTACTCGGAGACAGTTCCAACTTACTTTTGTGTCCAATCGACGGGCAGCGTGAAACAATAAATAGTTTTACAATATCGTCTTTTTGTCCTAAGGACGAGTTGGACAGTAGTCTGCCCTGCTGACGTGGACTTTATATAATTTTGGACATTACGTCAAGTATGAATTCGTCAGCAGAACACCGTACCGTAATTTAATCTTTGACACAGATATTTGACAATTGTTTAGGATACAAAAATGGAAGGATTATTATTCCAATGTGGAAAGTAATCGTTGACACTTTGGTAATGTTCGGTACGAATGCATCTTACGATGCACTTATAAAATAGTTTCAGCGAGGAGCTTTTTATATATCTTACGTGCTCCAGCCAAAAGGAACTATGATTACTATAAAAATATATTTATCTCGTAAAAAACGTTAAAAAGTACCGAACCGTATTGATATATCTACTAGAAAAGTAACCATTAAATCCCCATCGATTTCACTAAACAGCTCTTGTAACCCAAATTATTTAGACTCACATTGTCGACTCCGTTTTGACATCATAGATACCCTGAGTGTAGATGTAATCAATGACTGGATCTTGGACTAAGTATTTCACGCTCTCGCCGCGTCTCAGAGCTTTTCTGATCTTTGACGAGCTGATTTCATTTGGTATCCATTCGGTGACGATAGTTATGTTACGCTGAAGCATAGAATTTTAAAAGAAAAATGTAATCCTCGATAATGATTGTAGCGAGTTGACATTTACCATAAGTATGTCTATATACCACATGTTTTGAGAGAATGTCCGACTCGTAGATAAATCTGTGAGGATTAGAGCCTTCTCTGGTGACAACAATGAGCCCGTGTTGACTGACAATTGCGTCAATCTAAGTAAGCAGAAGACAAACCCCAGTTAGATACGAATATTTCCTGCAATGACATACGACCCATATAATTCTACCTACTTCTTCGTCTATCCAAAGACCAGGAACTTCGAAGCTTTCCAAAAGATCGGCACCACAGAGTAGCTTGATCTGAATCGGAGCATTATTAGCGTTATTTTTAACATTTTCAGGAATCCACTCCAAGTCTTCTTGTTCGGCATAATGTTTAATGCCATTAGTATCGCTAACAACCGAGTTCAATACACTCTGATGGTATTGGAGGCTAAGTTTCGTTCTCATCCAGCAGTTCTGCCTTGTTTCCCACGTACTGACTCGTACCCAGTCGTTATTCTTAAGAGCGAGTTTCAGCATCGCGCACCTATGACTCGCACTGGCGAGGTCCCTTTTCCCGTATCCATCATGAGCAGGAGATATAATTCCACCAACTACAGCGTGTGTACCCATCCTGTGGAGATGATCCTTCGCAACCTCTATAAATCATAATAAGTGCTCTACTGTCTTCGTCGAAATGCCATTATAACACACCTAACGAAAACACAGTGCTATCGGAGCGTTTAAAGTCTGAAGGGCACCGAGCCCAGTAATGATATATGTGGCGAAAATTGCGCACTAAGTATTTGTGTTGCAGGTGAAAAATCAATATTGATTACAAACAGGAGATATAGACATATATATATATATATATGCGTACCAAACATTCGTAAGTGCATGTTGGTTGGGGGGTTATAACACCCACAGGACATGAGAATAATTTGTGGCGGCGACATTTTCCTGGTTTTCTCTAGCCAACGTACGCCAGAAATGCTGTCACTGCATATTATGAGTCGCTCTCTTCGTTTATTCAGGACCGGTGACGTTTCAGCCGTGACATTAAGAACCTTTCAAGGCAAACCGTGCACTTCACAACCGCGCACCACCAGAAATGAGTTGGGAACACAGATGAGTTGGGAGATTGTTCACGGGCAGGGTCGCGCGAACACATCGTGTGCTGCCCTCTGGTTTCGTACGTAAGCTTTCACCGTTTTTTGCCCCCAAGGGCGCCGCAACGAATTTCTGGTAGGGGCT